GAACCGGAACCGGATTCTTATTTCGAATTTTATGATAGCTTTGGTTATTCAAAACTTTGAACCTTTGTAGGGGAGGTACCAGAAGGAATGGTCCGGTATCTATAACAGATCTTGTGTTAATAAAAATATTCAGATGTGCCAAGTTTGAATGTGATCGAATGTAAATTTCCTTTGTGGATGAGGTACCAGAAGGGGTGGACCTATATATTCCGTCTAAACGCCAGATCTTGGGTTAATAAAGATATTGTGATGTATGTAATTAAAGACATTCGGACACTTACATCACATATTATAAGAGTTATAATTATTCAAAATGTTGATCCTTTGTGTGGAAGGTACTTGATGGCGTGGGCCGATATTGTTTACATTTTCACGCCTGACATAGCACTGATGCAAATATTAGTATTATACTTTCCTTTCTGTGCAGTAAATTATTTTCTTTTAAATTATTGACATTTTGTGTGGGAGGTTCCAGAAGGAGTCAACCGATATTGCCCATCTCCGAACTCGATATAGCGTTGTCAGTAATGGTACGAGGTACCAGGTGTGGATAAAATCGGATACTTCCTTCTCAGTCAGTCTGACGGACGGACGGATATCGGTAGATCGACTCCAAAAGTCCTGAAACGAATTTGTTCCAAAGAGACCCTAAAACCTTTAATTCGAAATAGAGCTTTGAAATTTTATAGAGGTCTTTGGATTGCATTCACAATCATTAGATATCTCCCACATAATAGTTCATTTCTGCTTTAAGTTACAACTTTTTTAAAACCATAATACACATTCCAAAACTATCATAGTTCGTATGATATAATTTTTATACATTCCCCACAAAAAAGTTTATTTATTTCGGGTAGCTCCACTGAATATGCAAAGTAGCACAGGGTATCATAAGACTTTTGGCCTTTCTAATTTTATTCGTTTCCATAGATTCATATTATACTTCCTATGACTTTCATAATTCCGATGTGTTTCATAATTTTTTGCCCAAACGAACTTATAATACCTCCAACATATAGTGTTGTAGGGTATAAAAATAAATATATCAAAGTAAATATAAAGCAAAACAACGCTTTCGGAGTCAGCCAATGACATATTTTGTTTTATTTATTGTAATGTTTTATTTTACATATTTATTTCATTTTGACTTACTATTTTCGAATGAACATTTGTAGTGTTTTTTTTTTTTAATTCGATGTGTAGTCTTTTTTTGGGAATTAAAAACGGCAATGGACAACACTGGCTGTTATAGTTTTTATGTGTGTATTGAGAAAGTGGAACCATACGAATAAAATCATTTCAGAAGAGGATAAGCTATTAACAAAGCAATTGCAGGCGGGCTACACAGAAGCGTAGTACCGAATCATCTGGTGGCGAAACTGAATATATGATGTCAAAATAATTTAATGCTGCCACGCCATAGTTAAAAGATAATTCGTTTTTCAAACTCGCTAAAAAATCAAACAAACAAAAAAAGAAACTACCTCATTGCAAAAATTCTAAAATCGGGAAAAAAATCTACAAAATTTTTTCAATGGAAACTTATTTTATTATGGTACATTCTATTGACAAAAATCCGCGAACAAATTAAAGATTTTTCTTTTCAATGTGTTTTTTCTTTTCATGTCTAAAATTGGCATCTAGCTTCCAACTCCAGGACCTACATCGTGCTTCAGCTGGAAGATGGAAATACATTTAAACAAATAAAAATTACCGACAAAGCGTTATGGGACTCATTTCAAAACGTGGACCTACTTCGTTCACATGACAATAATCCGTCCAATGAGAACCCAAAATGCAAAATTTATTGGGACTGCAATCAGTGAAACACCGACTTTTTGACCTTTTGTAGGTTATGATATGGGTCATAACCCCCGCATAGGAGTACAACCCGATTTCAAGCATATTTAACATTTTAACCATATTTTTATACCCTACAACACTATGTGTTGGGGGTATTATAAGTTTGATTGGCCCAAAAATTATGTAACACCTCGAAATATTGGTTTCCCACATAGGAAAGTATATATGGATCTTCCTAGCTCGCCGAGCTGAGTCGATTTAGCTATGTATGTCCGTCCGTCCGTCTGTCCGTCTGTCCATGTTAATTTGTAATCACTCTACAGGTCGCAATTATGGCCCGATCTTCACGAAATTCAGAATGGAGGTGGGTCTGGGGTCAGAATAGAACCCTATTTCTTTTGGAGATGATCGCCAAATGTTTAGGGGTTGAAATGGACCAAATACTGAAAAAATGTCGGATTTTTCAGTAGCTATACAGGTCGCAATTATAGACCAATCGACGCGGAATTTCGCATGTAGCTATAGTTTAGGGCGGGGAAGAAGCCTACCAATTTGGGTGGTCATCGTATAATATTTAGCGGTTAAAATAGACCATAACTTTTGTGTTGAAAAAATTCAAAATGTTTCATTAAACCGCGAATATTTTAAATCCCGGCGAAATCACAAAGCCATGACAAGGTTACTTCTGATCTTTACATTGATGTTAGCATCCAACAAAACGGATATATAGCAAAATATGTGCGATATATACGTTTATCAAAGAAGACATGCTTGAAAAATCTCTTATATGTCGAGAACGGCTGAACTGATTTCCACAGTTCTCATTAATTCAGAATGGCCTCTTGGCAGGAAACATAAAACGTCGAAAAAAATCGCATAAAAATATCTCTCTAAAGATGAAAATATTGATTTTGTACAATTTTCTCTTATTTTTTTAATTTTGTCATATTTTTGGCATATTTTCATTTTGAATTAAACATTTGGTAATATTTTTACAGCTAACAAAACTAAGTAGTTGGGATATCAGAATATCATATACAGATCGCATTTATGGTCCGATCCTTACGAAATTTTGCATGGGGATAAGATGAGGGTCAGAATAGAAGCCTACTCTTTTTGGAGATGATCGCCATATATTTAGGGGTTGAAATGGACCAAAAAACTGCAAAATTGTCTGCAGGTCGTAGTTATCGCCCGATTCTCACGCACATTTGAATGGGGGTTACCGGACATTACAAAAGCCAAGTAGTTTTGGATGGCCATCCAAAAATATTCAATATGTGAAATAGTTTGCCAACAACAAAATACGAAAATGTCCATTTCCAGAACAGGAAAGACGCAGTTTTAACTATTTTTTTAACACTGATTTCGTTGAAGAATATAGTCAAATATCTGTATCTCATGTAGATGCGTTTCAATCAAAAACCAATAATAAATGTTAATCTTTTGCCACTTCTGAGAGATTATAGGTCTTTGGGAAATATTGGTTCCAGACCATTTACGTGCAACATCTACCAATAAATTGGAAATGAGCAAATTAGTTTAAGTTGCTATTATTCGAAAATTAGAGAACGGAACCTGATGGTTTTCTTTTATTATTTGTCACAATATCTTGTGGAATTCTTTCGAGTATCTCGCCTATATAAACTGTATGGTTTATTATAGTGTTGTAGGGTATTCAACGGTCGGCCCCGCTCGACTGTAGCCTTTGCTTACTTAAGTAGGAAAATAATTTGAGAAGAAACCTACCTTGCAATAACTGGTCACGTTTTGTTATAATCACCATTCAAGCTATTTTCGGGGTCTTGGCCACTTTTTTGATTTTTTGCCCTTATTTAGTATTATTGTTTCTTAGGGGTACAAAACCTTTTCTCATGAATTTTTGAATTTTCGGAGCAGGGTCCATCTAAATCATGACCACATTCATCCCTTGATTTGGCAAAAAAATTATATTTAGGATACTCTAGGATAGAGAACCATCTTACAGATAATAGTACACATAGACTTTATTTAAGTATAGTCCCCACATTAGTGTACACCAAAGTCCACATAACCAACACATGTGAGGTCAGAAAAGAAAACTATGTATTCTATCGAATTTGTAACCCTCAAGAGAATTTTGGTTGGGAACATAGATGATAAAAAAATAACAAATACTGGAAAGTTGCACGGGACCGAACATTTGTTTAATCGCCATTGAATTATACTATGATGAAAAAAAATGGACAATTTAAATGACAACAAAATTAATTCCCATCTTGCGGCAATGGGTATAAAAGAGTAATTATCTTTGACCATTCTGAAATCATTCTGCCCTCAATTATGAGGTGGACAAAACTAAATACCATGCAGAACGGTATTCTAAAAGTTGCAAATACAAATTGCAAAATTACAGCTCATTTTAATGGAAAATTTTGCTAATCTCTTCACCATACCGAAAATTGAGCTGAGTTTTCATATGGGGCTATAATATATGTTCTATATCACATAGGTTTTTAACACTCCAACTAAAGCCTATGGCTGTAAAATAAGATTAGGCTATTCAAAATACCGAAAACCGAGGTGGGTGAATATCTATTATAATTTTTGCCATGAAAATTTATTTTTATTTAGAAATTATTTGACGCTTAAATAAGTCTGATCTGTGATTTATTATGCTTTTAAAAAATATGCATTAAAGACTAAAAGTACGGGCCGGCAACGCGAACCGGGCCAACTAGTTATAAATAAATGCCTTGCAGTATTCAGGGAAAAAATTCCTGAAGTGTATGATATTTCTCCCAGATAAATCCTGAATACAAATTCCCATTCAAAAATGGTTGTACCTAACGGGGCCATTTATATGTGGAAGAGGAGAGTAAATATGTCTGAGGATATGGGAAACCTCCATCTAAGGCAGATCAAACTTCCTTAGTCCACATAGTAGATAAATCAATCTTTTTATTAATTTTATATATTTTATTTTCATTGAGAATGTTCTACTTTAGGTTGGTATTCATAATCATTGGCGCTATATGACATTTTATGATACCAGGCAAAAATATGATTCCAGATCCAAAGTGTTCAGTAAATAGTACCAAACACCCTTCCTAAATCCAATTATAAAAACCTTAAGACAAGTCTCAATGAGACCTTCTTTCGCAATTCCTTACACAACTTATAGCAAAATATTCAGAACAAAAAATCCTTCTTTACAATTTGCTTATATGAAATTCATGTATTTTTGTTATTTTATAACAATTTAATACATACTCAATTTTGTGAAATTCTAAGTAATTTAATGAGAATGTTCTACTTTAGGATGGTAGCCGTATTCATCGGCACTGTAGGTGACTTTGATGTGTTTGCCATCCTTGGTGACGAATTCGTATTCGCCCTTGACGAGCCAAGTCTTTTCGTCTTGCAAATGACCCTCTTGGAAGGCACGGATTTTGTTGGTCAACTCAAAGCCATATTTGAAGTCTTCCTTGTTAACTTCACGGAACTCCTTAACAACATCGGCTTCTTCGTTGGCGAGGGCAACGGCGAAAAGGCAGGCAAGGAGAACAATCTGCAAAACCAATGGTTTTAAAAATAATAATATCTCCAATTTAATTATTGCTTTGCTAGACTCCTCTTACACTGAATTTCATTTTGAATTTTTCCAATTGTGTGATTCGGTTTCCAAAACTGAACTAATTTCTCAAATTCTGGGATCTGCATTTATATGGCGAAATTATGCAATGATGATGCCAGCCCGAAGAATATTCCATAAAAATACAAGAAAAGACAGGTATATAAAAATTTTGATTTAGCACTGGTCTTGTGGCCATCGAATGCTACGTTTGGTTGATAATGTGAATTTTTAATTGTAGCTGAGTATGCTGACATAAAATGTTCACACAATTCATTATGTACTCGATAATTAATTTACGGTTCTGTGAATGTGAAATTAGTTGTTTCTCCTATTGTTTTGAGCATGTTGGTAAGTACAAGTAATTATATATCAATACGACGATTTCAGAATTTTATTGTGGCAAAGAAAGAAGTTTATGTAGATATAGTTTATATAGTTGACCAAAAGTGTAATTTCAAGCCTATATTTGCCTTCAGATTCCTTTGGTCCAATTCCCTATATAAGACAACCAGCAATCGTAGGTAACATTATTTATGACACATGACTTAACTCACTATATATGTAGTACTAACACAATTTAAAATACTTCAAATAACAAAACAGATCTCATCCAGACGAAAATATCCGGGAGTGGAATCCCGTTTTGCCATCGGAAGTAGAAACAAAACCAATTAACATAATAATTGAACGTTAATGCTAAAATTCAAATAAACAACATTATTTCTCAACTACTTTAAGAATAACCTATTTTATCTAGACTTGTGGTAAATACAAAAATTAAATTCCAGTTTTTTCTTATTATTCGCCAGCATAATTTCACAATATAAATACAGATTGCAGACTTTGGGTAATTAGTTCAATTTTGGAAACAGAATCAAACTATTTAGAATAAACAAAATGAAATTTGCAGTAAGTAGTCTGTGAAAATTATCACCAGTATTTTAAACGTATTTAAATCGCCTTTCATTTTTACAGGTTGTTCTTCTTGCCTGCCTTTTCGCCGTTGCCTTCGCCAACGAAGAAGCCGATGTTGTAAAGGAGTTCCGTGAAGTTAACAAGGAAGACTTCAAATATGGCTTTGAATTGACCAACAAAATCCGTGCCTTCCAAGAGGGTCATTTGCAAGACGAAAAGACTTGGCTCGTCAAGGGCGAATACGAATTCGTAACCAAGGATGGCAAACACATCAAAGTCACCTACAGTGCCGATGAATACGGCTACCATCCTAAAGTAGAACATTCTCATTAAATTAGTTAGAATATCACAAAGTATAATAGGTGTTGAATTGTTATAATGCAACAAAAATACATGAATTGCATATAAGCAAACAAAAATGGAACTTTTATTTCAGATTCTAAACAGAGTATTGAGGTATGGATAGTAAAGTGAGAAGAAGTTGTATAAGGAACTTTTAAAGGAGGCATATAATTAGGGCGGGAGTTCTGTACTCATCATTTGAATCTCGTATAATATTATTTCCGATAAATTTCTGTCATAATCCACAAATGACAGAATATGTACTCTACATGTGCTACCTCATTCGCATTATACAATTTACTGTCAATGCCCCCTACTTCGTTATCGAAAAGTTTACATCAGCAGAGTATTCATTGGCCTTATATAAGGCTCATGATTGACAAAATTTTAAGATATTTTTGGGTAAAGAAAACATTTTCTTAATTATCTTAATTCAACCGTGTTCCTTTTTAAACAACAACTACCAGTAAAACCTTTTGAATAATGCAGTTAAACTTTTCAAAAAAAAAAAAAAAAACATAGAGTGAGTAAGTCCGTTATGTGGGGGACATACCAAAAACGGTACCCATTTAGACAACTTTATACTACAAGGATAAAAATACCGAACATCAGTGGGTATTACAAATACAAAGTTTTAGACGAATCCGTGGATATACGAAAACGTGGACTTATACATACAATATTCTGCCACGGACCTAGAACTCATTGTGACAATTTTTAAACAAATGTGGCAAAAATCACCAACATACCGTATATCGAGAGGGCAACACAAAAACGTGGACATATACATAAAATGTTGCGCCACAGGAGCTAGAATCCATTTAGCTCTACAAATACCAATTTTTAGGCAAATCCGTGAAAAATGCGGCAAAAATAATCAAAATACCTAATTTCGGGAGGTACCGTTATGTATATGGAGGCTACACGAAAACGTGGGCCTATATAATGAACTACATATACCAATATTTAGACATATCCGTGGAAAATGTGGCGAAAATCACCAAAATACCGAATATATGGCGCCTATACGAAAACGTGAACCTATACATACAATGCCCTGCCACCGGACCTAGAACTCATGACCTACATATACCAATTTTAAGACAAATCCGTGGAAAAACCATCAACATACTGAATATCGAGAGGTACCATTCTATGGGGACTATACAAAAATATGGACCTATACATACAATGTTCCGCCACCGGAACTAGAATGCACTATGACCTAAAAATAACAAATGATTGACAAATCCGTGGAAAAAAGTGGCGAAAATCATCAAAATACCGAACATCGGGAAGTTTCGTTATATGGGGGCTACACAAAGTAACCTTAATATACAATATTCCGCCACTGGAGCTAAAACCCATTATGACCAACATATACCAATTTTTGGACAAATCCGTGGGAAAATGTGGCGAAAATCATCAAAATAACGATTATCGGTAAGTACCGTTATATCGATATATCTCATTTTCAATACCAACCATCCATAAAATATATATTGTTCTTCCAAAGCTCTATGTCAAATAATATGGTCTGCATCGCGATTTCAATAGACAGACGGACATTGTTAATCGACTTCGAATTCTGAACATGAATATATATACTTTATTGGGTCTACGACGAATACTTAGAGATATTACAAACGGAATGACAAAGTTAATATACCCTATTTTTCAAGGTGGGGGGAATAATAACTTTAGTTACTGACAGATAGCATTTGCTCTATGTTTACGACCTTTGTCATGCCGATAGGTGTTCAAAAAAAAATTCACTAAAAAGTTGGGAGTCCATTTTACCCGCAATATATTTTCCGATGACCATACAAAAAGCAAGGTATTTTTCCTGTTCAAAATAGTGATCTTATGCGAAATTCCGTGTCGATTGGTCTTTACTTGAATCGCTTTAAAGAAAACTGAGGAATAGTATTTGGACAATTTCAAACCCTAAATATTTTGTCAATATATTCTAAAACTTAACCCCATAATAATATGTACAAGTGAATGTTGTCAGTCAAATTGAAATAATCTCATGCGATAAAAAATATCGCAATACCGACCATTTGATACCCTTCAACACAACAATTTGAGGTAAATTTTCTGCAGATCTAAAACACTTTTGACTAGAATGAAGATTTCCCTAAGAAATATACCCATAAATACTACTATGAAGGCAAATGTTGAGCCTAATTGCTTCTCTTTTCGAATAATCATCATCTGGAACTTATATCTTCCAAAAACATACGGCCTCTAAAAAAGCATCGGTATTTTGCGAAACATGAGTTTCCTACTATTTCAAATACATAATTCGCTCATTCGGAAGAACAGAACTTTCACACATAAAAAATGTTTTCCATGCATACTTAATATTTTATGATCGTTTCATTTTTGAAATAATGTCTCGCAGTCTTCGTAGTCATAGACCGATACAACGAGTCGTGCAAATCTTAGTAGCATTTTCCCTATATTTACGCTCCCTACGTGTTAATAGGTATTCTAAACAATATTTGAAAATGTGCGCCTTTTGTGTATATGTGATTTTGTTTTTTTTTTTTTCACACAAATTGCAGTCCATTTTACTTGTAGTCATTTTAACTAGTCAGTCAGCGCTGTCCTAAACTCGAACCTCATGAAAAACGTCATGTCCTTTGTTGAGAACTGCAGGGCGACTGCAAAATCTAGACAATTTTTAGGTTATTTTACCATTTTAAACTCTAAATAATTTGCCAACATCTTCCGAAGCAATAGGCTTTAATTCTAATGAGCTCGGGGTAAAGCCTTTGAAATTCCAAAAAGTGCAAGAACTTACATCGCAACAGAAAGAAAATAAACTCAAAAGAGCTAAAGAGTTGCTTCGCATTCCCGAAAGTGGTGAATAGCCAAATTTGGTTTTCTCCGATGAGAAAACATTCGTTGTCCAGCAGTTTGTAAACAAACAAAATTATAACTTGCAGAAGAGGTCAGCTGAAAATGTGAACCTTCGGTTGGCAACCAGAACTTAAGCGCCGGTTATGATGATGGTGTGGGCCGCCATTACATCCGATGGTCGCTCTCCGCTCGTATTAATCGACCGTGGCATCAGAATAAATGCCGAATATTATCGCGAAAATATTCTGGAGGGTATGTTGAAGCCTTGGGCACGCAAACATTTTGGCCGCAGACCTTGGACATTCCAACAGGACTCATCACCATGGCACTCAGCACTCGCCACCCAAGAATGGTTACAAAATGAGGTTCCTCGCTTCATTTCCAGAGCACAATGGCCACCAAAATCTCCGGATACCAACCGTTGGACTATTGTGTCGGTAGTATTTTGGAAAGCAAGGTTGGCACTAAAATATACCAATGTGTCGATCACCTCAGGCAAGCGCTTCGCCGGGAATGGGTCAAAATACCGCAGGGCAATATTCTACAACTGTCGGATTTACATCCTCCCATAGTAAAAAATACTTTAGGTATCAATACCAAAATTCAGATTTCTTCCAATTGATATTTTTATACCCTCCACCATACATAATATGGAGGGTATATTAAGTTCGTCATTCCGTTTGTAACTCATCGAAATAATCATTTTAGATCCAATAAAGTATGTATATTCTTGATCAGCGTAAAATTCTAAGACGATTTAGTTCTGTCCGTGTATTGTAATCACGCTACTGTCTAAACGAATTAAGATAGGAAGCTAAAATTTTGCACAGATCTCTCTTTTGTCTGCAGGCAGGTAAAGTTCGAAGATTGGCTATATCGGTCCACGATATCGTATAGCCCCCATATAACGGTACCCCCGATATTCGGTATTTTGATGTTGTTAGCCACATTTTTCCATGGAATTGTCTGAAAATCCACACAAGGAGTTCCTTGAGTGT